TTTTTTTTTTTTTTTTTTTTTTTTTTTTTTTTTTTTTTTTTTTTTTTTTTTTAATTAATTTGTGCATAGGTGGGCGGGTATAGTTACCATGATTTCCTGGCTTTATATAGCTGGACAACTCTAGATGTGTATAATCATCTTCAGAAAATGGTGGTTCCAGAACGGATATTGGACTCGGCTGCTCTTGATTTTCAACGGCGTTTCCAATCGTGAAAGGTCTTTTCATAGACAAACCCGCCTGCAAATCATAACAAATGACACTGTCAATAACTAATCACAATCAAATGGTTCAATTTATTTGAAAAAGAAAAACATTCATGGAACTACTGAAGCAGACACGAGACAATTGCATTCAATTTATTCTGTCGAGCACCTAATGTCAACTCCAACTCCCCATGTATGTAAAAGCATACAAAATTTAATAGGAAAAAAAGTCATCAATCATTGCAATCTGTTGTGCTCAGCAAAGCAGCTTCCAACACAATCCTATTTTCCTTGTCGAAAACTAATTTCCACACGACTTAAGCCAAAATGTAAGAAATGCTCGCCTATGATACATGAATGAGGTTTGAAGATTAACACTCAGCGAAAGAACTTGTTACGATATTTTTTTTTATCCAGCTAATTCTTAAAACTCCATACAAACAAATAGTTAAATATCTAATCGCAATTATAAGGAAGAATATACATTAAAAGAGAAAAACCCTACATTTATATGATTATGTTTAATGCATAATGGATAGGTGTAGCGATAACATCAAATAGATTAGCATGCTACTATTACAACCATAGAAGGAAAGATATACCTCATGATGAACTGCACCTCCTCTTGCAACCTTATTGGCTGAATGTAGAGAAGTGCCTGATGAGCACCCTTCACCATCATTAGAATGAGATGCAGCATTACTCAAACCTCTCGAATGATGAACGAAAGATAGGGATGAGGGTGTGTCGACACTGGAAGATTGAGATTCATCTTTTGTTTGAGACCCACCACGTTTTTCTTTACTCAATTTTTTATTCCTCGAGAAAAATAAATTTGAGACTTTCTCGTTAAATGATGACTTGACACCCTTTGGCTTTGCTAGCAACTTCGGATCATCAGTTTTTACGATCACAAGATCTGATGCTTCAAGATTAAGCCTGCCAATCAACGCAGAAGATCCTGGGACAGATTTCGACCTTACAAGCGTCGTAGGAGAACCATCCAGACATTCAATATTTTCATCACTATTAAAATAGGGCTCTAACTCACCTGTTTTGTGTTCATTAACTTCATTATCAGTTATTATTGATTTCTTTGCATCTGACAGTGCAAGCATCTCGCCCAATGTATTTGAGTGTCTCCGTACGTGCCTTTGCTCCTGATAGTTCCCACGTGACGTCATCATGGCCCATCTTTCTGACAGTCGCTTCTTGGCTTCTCTGCACACTGATGACTCTGGAGAGCATGATATTCGGCTGAAGGAGGATGACGAAAATGGGCTACTATATCTGTTAACATATTCCCAAGAATGGTGCGAAGAGAAAGACATGACTTCCAAATCACTCAGAGTTTCTACTGCATAGTCATTCTCTGATTTTTCAAACGAACTTTCATCACCAGTATAGCCATTAGAAAACACAGAAGAAAGCAAAGTTTCATCCCTTCGATGACCCGAAAGATTGTGACACATTTTCTGAGTAATATTCCTAGCAAATTTTCTTGATTCCTTCACATCATCATCTTCAAATCCCTCATGAAAACTTTCCTCTTGCACCACTCTAGGCAATGAGCCAGGTGATGAGACCATGGGCTTAACATCATGATTCCTCCCAGGACTAGGCTTCAAAACCACTATTCTTGTTGGTTGAGCAGCTACAGCATATTCATTAGTCCTATTAATAGTTGGAGTAGGGGAAAATCTTGGATCACTTTTGTCTAAAATAGCTGATGTCCTCTGAGCTGGTAGCCTTAACTGTCTGTAGTTTTTTTTCTCGAAATCACTGAATCTTTCATCCTTAAAAACCTTTGAAGGTCTAAGAACAGTGATTCGCTTTGTCTCAGGAGATGGAGGGATGGACTGGAGCTCTTTCAGATGCTGAGTGAACAATGAATTTGGCTCCTGCAGAAACTTGACAAACAAATCCTTATTGGAACTTAAAACTTCTAGTGCATCTTGAAATTCTTTGGATTGGCGCAGTTTCTCACTGGTGGCCAGACGTTTTGCTTCCACAAACTTCTGGCGAACAAGAGCCATCTTTCTATCTGTCACAATTTCACTTTCCACTCCCTTCTTTGTCTCTCTTTCTCTGATATAATTTGTCTGTGGAGATTGCTGCCATATTTCATAAACATCTTTATATTCTTTCTGATTTGAACATTCATTGACTTCACATTTCATTCCCTCTTCCAAGAAGCCACTTTGTTCCCTACATCCTAATGACATTCCATTGTTCGCAGCTTTACTCTTTGGATAACTTCTTATATTGTTTCTTTGAACAGATGAATCAGGAAGCTGATGAGGGAGAGTTTCAAGGCCCATAAGCTTTGCAACTACATTGGGTGGATTTTTTGTACACACCATTTCTGACATCTCTTGATCAATGAGCATCTTCACAGATGTTTCATTTGCTCTCTTATTCGATGCTTTAAGCAATTCAGGCACTGTCTGATCAATCCACACAAATGCAAAATATCAAGACAATGAGTTAGAATAGCATAACTAAACCAGAAAAAATCGACATCGACCTCCAGCTCTTATGAATAGATTGCACAATTAAATTTTTATAAGGATTAGTGGAGCACAATATTTACCAGATTATCTTCAGTTTGATTGGTGAATTGATTAAACATCCTTCCCACATCCGCCTGATTTCTTGAGAGAGTAGAACCTGCCAAATAGCCACATCTCTGTCATCCCATTCACAGTCAAAAGAAATATAACAAAAAGAATGAGCACAACCGAAATATAAGCACCAGAGGAAGCATGTATACATGTGGGTCCCACACAGAAGCATAAAGTTCATTAAAAAGCAATTCAATTGAAACAAAGAAATGAATAATCAAGAAAAATAACACAAGAATTTCCACAAAATGGCCAATGTTCTCTGTGAAGAAAAAAATAGTTTAGGATGAATCTATTAATAGAAAGAATAAGATTAGTCCACAGGTCCTAAGTGAACAGATGAGCCCAGGTGGTTAATATTTTTATTTTATAATTATGGTTTCAATTAAGGAAAACCAAAACCTTTTCACTTCCTCCTCCCTTCATACACCATCTTCTCTTCTTTCTCTCTATAGGCTACTGATACTTATGGCTCCAAACAGACAGTAAGACTAATAGCCCAACCATGTGAATCAAGGTTGCCGATAGTTTCAACTGATAACAAGTCAAACTCACCTAGGAACGCATCAATTTTTTGTACCACCATCAAATCCAAACTAAAAAAAAAAAAAAAAGACTTCTTCTCTATTCTACGTTGTGCTTGAATCATGGTGGACTTTGACCTCATCTTGAGACAATTGACTATTGAGGGGGAAAGGGAGATAGACGAGATGAGAGATTCGTTGGAAATTAGACTTGACTTACTCTAAGTAAATAACCCACTAAATTCCAGGAAGAATCAAATAATAATGACATTTTAACTAAGTAAACTAAGATAATTTCAAAAAAATGTGGTATTATCTTAGAGGTTACCTTCACGATGTGGTGCATCAGTAAGAAGTTTGTTCCTAGAAACACCGGTACTCAGATCGAAGAGGTTCACCATTCTTCCCAAACAACCAGGGAAGGGCTTTTCATTATTACCAACATTTCTTCTCTGAATCCCATTCATCTCAATACCTTTAACCCCTTGGCTGCAATGATGCTGAAGCTTTCAGTGAAAAAGAAACAGAACACCTAAGTTGAAGAACAAGAAAATTTTATTGCATAAAAAATAGGATATGAGTTGCAGAATCCCAACCTGAATATTATGGATCTGTTTCTGAGAAGTGAACCAACAATAGTTAGGTTAAGATCACCTTCAATGAGGTAAACAGCTAAGGAATTCCATGGTGGATGGAGATTTCAAGGAGCAAAACAGGTCAGAAAAAAATCAGAGTCTAAAGGGACCTACATTGAATTTGACTGGTAACCACAAGATAGACATTCCAAAAGAAAAAACTTAAAAGATAATTAAAATTAAAAAAACGAATCCCTAACAGGTGAACCAAAAGCAGATAAAGCAACTTTTTACAGATTCAAAATCGGTCTAAGCAACGACAAGAGAAAGAAAGAGATAAAAAGGGAAGAATCTATCTTCAAAAGTTTCCCGAGAAAGAAAAAGGTAGAAAGAGAGAGAGTGAGAGTGAAGTCAGATTCAATTAGCAGCGAAGAAAGACAAAGAAAAATTGGAGAAAGCGGTTTGAAAGAGCGAGATCGTCGAGAAAGCAAAAGAAAAATGAAGTACACAGCTCCAAATGGAGCCAATTTTCACACATCTTTTCTACGTAAAAGAATCAAGATTCTGACACTCAGAACGAGAAGGTACATTGTGACCTAGAAATTGAGAGTAATCAAACTGAAAATGAAGCAATTGCGGCCGGAAAGTGACATTCCGGCGGAGAACCACCGTGAAATCCACCGAAGCTCCGCCGTTAGAAGTTGCAACTGCTAGTGGTAGAGAGAGAAAATATTTCTTCGCAGAGAGCTTGTAGAGAGAGAAAGAAGTCTGTGAGAGCGGACTCTTTACCCTCCACCGACCTGTGACGGACTTGAATTAATTATCAACTCTAACTTAATCGTAACGTTCGATTACGGAGAAAAGTATTAACAAAACAATAACGAAAGTTGAAATCTCGAAAACACCCCTCTTCGTTTTACTGTATTTACCTTTCTGGGGGTAAAACCAAGAAACCAATCCTATAATGCAATTATGAATCATGGCATGCAAAAGTCCGTTTTAAATAATTGTTTTTACGTTTTCAAAAGTGGTTCAATATTTATATTTTTATTAAAAAAACAAACAAAAATAATAAATAAAAATAACTTTGGTGGAGTGGGAACAGGGTAAATATTTAGTTACCGTGGTAAACCTCATGATTATTTAATATATATATATTTATTTAAATATAAATATGTGTGTGTTGTGTGCAATAATGAGCAATGTGAAGGAGACATGAGTAATATTGATCTGTCCTGAATACAAATTTTTTATAAGAAAAATAATATGTGGACTGTGATCCATCAAAATTACAACACTCTCCCACGTGGCTGACCAGCTCTCAAAAAAAAATTAATTTTTAAATGTTTAAATTCTCTATATAATTTTTAAAATTAATTTTTTAGTAGCTAAGAGAAATTGACAAGGTATGATTTTTAGTTTTGTTTTTATTATTTGTATAATGGATTTTTTTTTTTTTTTTTTAGTTAATAAAAGCTTAGTTTCTATATGTATTTTTAAGATTCAAAGGGAAACAAAAGTAAAGAATATTGCGAATAACAATAATCCCAATACAATCCTTTTAATGGGTATAAAAGAAAGAATATTGCGGTTCCATCAACATCCACATGGATTGATCTCTCTTTTTATTTTTATTTTTTAAAACATCTTGATAGCTCACAAATGGACCACCATGTTTATACATTTTCGCAAACAATCTCATTGCCAAGAATTAATAATTTTAAAAAGTACCATACTTAGCTATGTTTTTTTTAAAAAAAAAACTAAGATATCCACGACGAATCTTAATGGTAGTTATATTTGACATTTTTAAAGAAGAAAAGTATTTAGTCGTTTATCATTGGAACCACGAACCTTCACATTGATTCACATTGATTACACCGATAGGAATGATGAAAAGAAATAAATAAATAAAAGTTGGAGGATGTGATTGGCAAAATTAAAGGTGAACAAAAAGTTAAATGATGTGGTGATTGGTTGAAATTAACCAAAAAAAGTAATGAAAAAATGGCAACAAAATCTTTGGGCTATGCCGGAGAGTAAAATAGGTGCACATGGAAAACAAAGGGACCCCTCTCCTTTTGGGTGCCCACTGCCCATTTCATTTCAGAACTATATGTTGTAACAACTACTGTATAATAATATAATTGGAAACAAAACAAAAAGTGACCAACCCCACCTTGTTTGAGAATGTTTGTTTGAATGCCTATTGACAATATATATATATATATATGTATGTATGTATGTATTATTAATATTTGCCAGTATTATTAATTTAATGATCTAGACTAATTTTAGAAATAATTAATTTTTAAAATTCAACCATATTTATAGAGTACAAATTCAAGCTTGCAACCATTTGTATGTCATTACAATGTCTCAACGAGTTTAAGACATGCTTAAATTAATTTTTTTTCCTAATATGAATTTAAGAAAGACATACCAAATAGTTGGAGATATTCATCATTTATGCTCAATATTATAATGGATTGTTTTATATCTATTTATTTTCAAACATTAATGTATAAAATTACCCAATATAAAACTTATCTTGATCAAGAATATAATATCTCAGTTCACTAAATTATGTTTAAGTTGGCAAAATAATAGTATCATTAAACAAAGCTTTTGAAATTGTGCCACCAAATCATTGAACTTTAAATAGTCTTTAATACACCTTCAATGAACTAGTACTTTAGTGTTCGACTCTTTTTTTTTTAGTTCATAGACAAATTAAAATAGTGTCTAAATAGGATAATAAAATTTTAGAATCTTATCCAGCTTTGAATTTTCCTTTTTATATCCAATGAACATTCAATTTGTAATTTTATAATTAGTTAACATATTTTATTTTATTTTATTTGTTAAAAATCTATTTTGATCCTTGTTGAACTTTTAGAGAAGTAATTGTCAATTTTAATTATTTTTTATAGTAGAAATTAATCTATTACAAACATGAAATAAATAAATTTGAATGTACATGAACAAAATTGTTGCCAAATAAATTTTAAGAGATTAAATGGTTAGTTTTATAAAACATTAGGGACATTGTCATTTTCTTTCCTGTTTTTAGCATCATGAAGAGTGAGGATTAAATTTGAATATTATTTAATATTTTGATTTAAATTATAATATCTTAACCCGTTCAACGTTAACGTCAACAGTAATGAAATTTATGTTGAAAGCAAAATCATAGGTTCACATATATGCGTTGAGTGGCAAGAAAGGGAAAGCGTGTGAAGAGAGTGAAAAGGACGAGACAGTTGCAGATGGGAGGTGAGCGGCCTACATAATGGGGGCCTATCTCGCCTCACCTTCATCACGCCATTACCGACTTGGGAACCGCTCCTCTCTCTCGAGACACCCTCTTTTCTGTTGTTTCTTCTGCGTGTGGTCCATTTTAATGGTCTCAGTGTTTCAGATCCTAACTCTCTACAAGTTGCTAGACTAAACCAATAAATGAGAAAAAGTTTCACAAGGAAACCCATCTCCACTAATTCTCCTTAAGAACCCTACAAAAATAAATGAAAATTTTGCAAAGATTACCAATAAAATAGGTGGCAGGAATGGAGACCCCAAATGTTTACTCATCCCCACCCCATCTGGCCAATTCACAATCAAACTCAATCTAACTCTCTATTTTTAGGTTGGATTGACTTATTTTTTATAACTATTTTTTAAAAAGAAAACTACTTTACCTAACCTCCATTATACAAGTTAAATATTTTTAATACTAGTCAAAGGAAATCCTTGGAAAAAATAAAATACTTATTTTAGAAAAAGATAATAGAAAAACAAACGGAGTCTATAAAACTTAAAAACCTGACTGGCCAAACCAAATAAAACCCAGGTAGTTTTTTTATCAAATTTTGGGAGACCAACTTTCTTTTTAAAAAAATCACACGAGTTGTTAGCTATATAAATACCAGCTTTGCCTATTGTTTCAAAAGTACTTTGATGTATTAATCCCCTCGGCTTTGAATTGATTTCTTGTCAGTCTTTTGAACTTTCTTTCGTCTAATGAAAGTTCCATTCGTTTCTAGTTTCCTTATAGAATAAACTAACCAAGTTCATCAGCACAAACTATTCATAGAAAGCTTAATCTAGAAGCATAGAAGTAGAAGAGTAATAATCCAAAGATGGCTGCTAAATAACTTTTATTCATTTCGATCCATAATTTTACTGTTTTTTCAACTAGTATGGGTGGTATCTTTAACAAAACCTATGATTCCAAAAATATCGTAATATATAAACTAAACGGAGTACATTGCAATTGAGTGCAACTAATGATAACTCTACAAATGATGGGAAAATATTAAAGAATAACCTAAACACACAAGAAAAGAAGACTACTAAGAAACAGTAAACATATCGAACTACAGAAAATAATCTCCTAAGAAAAGTGATAAGACTAACAAGAAAACTGGCATGCTCGCAGAAAAACAACTCGTTTTAGGAAAATTATTTTGTATAACATATTTAGTCCTAATTGCATTCAACATATGTAAATGACAAAAATTCCAAATTTAGATCACAATGTTCTTAGGCGGAAGCAACTTGATTATTGAACGTATAATTTACAAGGCATGGTATTCATTAAATAAAAAATATTACTAACTATATACTTAAAAATGAAAGAAATTAGGAAGTATTAAATTCAGAGAAGAATAAATTCGTTGAATCGATGATTCACAAGTTGATCTTAATAAAAGGTTATGAAAGTATAACGAGGTAAAAGTAGTAAACATACATACCGGTAACTCTTGTTCAGGTAGAGACTCAGTTCAAGCATCAAATTAAACCGCCGCTTACACGAAATCGTCTTCAGAATTAAGAAAACAAGGAAAAAAGAAGACGGCAGCAACTCGTAAAAAATCTGAAATACAAAGTATTTAGAGAACTTCTGTTAATCGTCGGACCGTGCATAAGATAAGAGCTAATGGACATATGAATCAAATCGATCCACTAAAACACCTAATCTATCTGATCGATGGACAAAAGCCTATTGATACTCCGGATATTACGAGACTGGCCGATCACGATCCTTAGTTCAATTAACGATTTGATTTCCTACTCGACTAATCAAAATCGTGAAGATTAATGAACGATTCGGTTTCCTCTTCGACTAGTCAAAATCGTCAAGTAATTAGGATTTTATGAGACCGAGCAATCACGATAATAACTTGATAAACGATTAGGTTTCGTCTTCAACCAATAAAAACTGTAAAGTAATTAGGATTTATAAGACTGAGCAATCAAACGATCATTAGTTCAATAAACAATTGGTTTCATCTTCGACCGATAAAAATCTTGAAGTTATTATGATTTAGTTAACCTAACAAACGCGATGGTTGATCAAAGAAACAATAAGGTTTTACAAATCGAAATCACCAAAACGTACCTCCGTTTGCTTACAACATCGTGAGCCACCGATGACTTCGAACCCTAGAACCATCATACCTCTCAGCTCAGAGCGATTTCAAGAATATTACACTTGCGCGCGCAAATTTTGTAGCGCTCCGCTCCATTTCGTCTTTATATAGTAGCCCATAACTTTTTACGAAAATACCCCCATTACGTAATAACTTCCAGAAAAGACTAGTGGGCTGGCTTTTATCCGCAAATGAAATTGGGGGCCCAAACCTGGAAAATAGATGGGCTCTAGTCCAATTGGTTTAGGGTTCAGGGAGATCATTTTTAAGCGTTGTAATGCCCAAGCCCAATCATGCTAAGGCATGGAGGCTTCAAATCTAACCATCGCGAAAATGAATTTACAATTTTC